ACAGCGCCACGGCCCGTGGGAGCGATACATACAGCGCCACGGCCCGTGGGAGCGATACATACAGCGCCACGGCCCCTGGGAGCGATACATACAGCGCCACGGCCCCTGGGAGCGATACATACAGCGCCACGGCCCCTGGGAGCGATACATACAGCGCCACGGCCCCTGGGAGCGATACATACAGCGCCACGGCCCCTGGGAGCGATACACACAGCGCCACGGCCCCTGGGAGCGATACGTACAGCGCCACGGCCCCTGGGAGCGATACATACAGCGCCACGGCCCCTGGGAGCGATACATACAGCGCCACGGCCCCTGGGAGCGATACATACAGCGCCACGGCCCCTGGGAGCGGTACATACAGCGCCACGGCCCCTGGGAGCGATACATACAGCGCCACGGCCCCTGGGAGCGATACATACAGCGCCACGGCCCCTGGGAGCGATACATACAGCGCCACGGCCCGTGGGAGCGATACACACAGCGCCACGGCCCCTGGGAGCGATACATACAGCGCCACGGCCCGTGGGAGCGATACACACAGCGCCACGGCCCGTGGGAGCGATACACACAGCGCCACGGCCCGTGGGAGCGATACATACAGCGCCACGGCCTCTGGGAGCGATACATACAGCGCCACGGCCCCTGGGAGCGATACATACAGCGCCACGGCCCCTGGGAGCGCTGCGTGCTATTGTATACCTCCTAAGTGTCCCTTTCTAGGAGGGAGAATCCCTCAGTCTGTAGGAGAGTTGCCCTGAGTCCTAAATACTGCACTATGTTGTTTAGGAGAGCTATATTACAGGGACACTTAAGTCCACAGAACAAATACAGCTTAATGTAGTTCTGGTGAACATAATTATTTATATGCAAGCATTTTAGTTTCAGAGTAAAAGACACCTCCAAGTGTCCACTCCTCATATGGCTACTGGAGTTGCTTCCTGGGGCAGTGCTGCACAGTAGGCAGCATTGCCGTTCAGCATCTCCACGCTCTGCATGGGGACGCTGAATTTTGCTCAAAGAAGCATTGATTCAATGTATCTCTATGAGGAGGTGCTGATTAGCCAAAACATCGTTTGGGCCCAGCCCCCTTCCTGATTTTATCGAATCCAGTGCTTTCCCCACAACTCTAGATTAAAAAACTCTGTTAACCTTGTGCTCTACTGGTCTGCAGTCGTCCTTCTTAAAGAAGGAATGAAGATTGGAGAGAATCTAAAGGATCAGAGGAATAGGGTTCATGGGAGCGGGGCAGCCTTAGAGAAGTATTGAGGATAGACTTTGTATCTTTGGCAAGACCAAGGGCACCTAAGGGAAATGCAAGAGGATAGGATGCATTTATTATAGACTGTAACGGTGTGCAAAGCGGAAAGCGTTGATTGTGACCCGAAATATGATTGTGCTAGGAAGATATAGAGCTATGGTCTGAGCCCTGGGTGAGGCTGTCTCTGAGCACTGTATACGCAGGGCTGGGTGAGGCTGTCTCTGAGCCCTAGGCGAGGCTGTCTCTGAGCCCCGTATACGCAGCCCTGGGTGAGGCTGTCTCTGAGCCCTGGGTGAGGCTGTCTCTGAGCCCTGTATACGCAGGGCTGGGTGAGGCTGTCTGTGAGTTCTAGGTGAGGGAGCGCACATTCATAGTGGGAGGAGCGGTCTGACTGCACAAGGAACCAGGAAGAAGGGAGCTGACTGCATCCAGGAGATCAGACTTCTTGTTCTCCCACTGCAGGTACTGACCTGGTCAGCTTGCCCTGATAGATTATCCCCTGGTACTGACCCGGTCGGCTTGTCCTGAAAGGAGAGAGCCCGCATAGTGTGTACCGAGCAGGAACAGACATGTTAGAGCATTGTGACTGCAGAGGTGGGGGTTGCAGTCGGTAATGATGGTGTCTACGGACACAGAGTGAGATGTACGCTCTCCGAATCTCCCTGACCTTGAGCATTAACCCTTCCTGAACCTGCAAACCTAGTACGCTATTATTTAATATATTCATATAGTGCCAACATATACTGTAGTGCTGTGTGTTACATTGTGGCTGATCGAGTTGTGTAATGCTCTGTGTCAGTGTGTTATGTTGTGGCCGATTGAGTTGTGTAACGCTCTGTGTGTCAGTGTGTTACATTGTGGCTGATATAGGTGTGTAACGCTCCGTGTGTCAGTGTTTTACGTTGTGGTCGACCGAGGTGCGTAACGCTCTGTGTGTCAGTGTGTTACATTGTTGCCGTTCGAGGTGCGTAACGCTCTGTGTGTCAGTGTGTTACATTGTGGCCGATCGAGGTGCGTAACGCTCTGTGTGTCAGTGTGTTACATTGTGGCCGATCGAGGTGCGTAACGCTCTGTGTGTCAGTGTTACATTGTGGCTGATATAGGTGTGTAACGCTCCGTGTGTCAGTGTTTTACGTTGTGGTCGACCGAGGTGCGTAACGCTCTGTGTGTCAGTGTGTTACATTGTGGCCGTTCGAGGTGCGTAACGCTCTGTGTGTCAGTGTGTTACATTGTTGCCGTTCGAGGTGCGTAACGCTCTGTGTGTCAGTGTGTTACATTGTGGCCGATCGAGGTGCGTAACGCTCTGTGTGTCAGTGTTACATTGTGGCTGATATAGGTGTGTAACGCTCCGTGTGTCAGTGTTTTACGTTGTGGCCGACCGAGGTGCGTAACGCTCTGTGTGTCAGTGTGTTACATTGTGGCCGTTCGAGGTGCGTAACGCTCTGTGTGTCAGTGTGTTACATTGTGGCCGTTCGAGGTGCGTAACGCTCTGTGTGTCAGTGTGTTACATTGTTGCCGTTCGAGGTGCGTAACGCTCTGTGTGTCAGTGTGTTACATTGTGGCCGATCGAGGTGCGTAACGCTCTGTGTGTCAGTGTGTTACATTGTGGCCGATAGAGTTGTGTAACGCAGGGCTCGACAAATCCCAGGTTGCCACAGCGACTAGAAATTTTGTGCTGTCTAACGATGCTGGGAGCCGGAATATGATGTCACTCCGGCCCTGGCATCATTACAGAGCGCGAGGGTGAAGAGAGGAGCTGCAGGAAGATCAGTTCCCCCTTCACACGCATTAAGATAAGAGCCCCACTGGACCCCAGGGAAAAATCCACTTACCTCTCCCAAAGGTAGGAGGCTGGTTTTCAATTAAAAAAAAATTTGTGTGTGTGCGAGCCTGTTGTCAGCATCAATGTGTATGTGAGCCTGTCCGAGTGAGTGTGTGTGTGAGCCTGTTGTCAGCATCAGTATGTATGTGAGCCTGCTAATGTGCCAATCCGCATCTCTTCATAGGAATGCATTACATTAACCAATCTCTATGCAGAGCTTGGAGACCCCGAACCTGGGTGCTGCATGTGGCGCAGTCTGAGTGACTGTCACTAGAGGTCTTAATATGCAGCAATGAGAAACCTGCATGGACAGGCTATAGACACCAGAACTACATCAAGCTGCATACTGTACATCAAGCTGCATACTGTACATCAAGCTGCATACTGTACATCAAGCTGCATACTGTACATCAAGCTGTGTGCCGCACATTAAGCTGTATACTGTACATTAAGCTGTATACTGTACATTAAGCTGTATACTGTACATCAAGCTGCATACTGTACATCAAGCTGTGTGCCGCACATTAAGCTGTATACTGTACATCAAGCTGCATACTGTACATCAAGCTGCATACTGTACATCAAGCTGTATACTCTACATTAAGCTGTATACTCTACATTAAGCTGTATACTGTACATTAAGCTGTATACTCTACATTAAGCTGTATACTGTACATCAAGCTGTATCCGTACATCAAGCTGTATACTGTACATCAAGCTGTATACTGTACATCAAGCTGTAGTGGTTCTGGTGACCATAGTGTACCTTTTAAGAATTGCATTTTCTTGTTGAAAATGACTGGCTCCTAAATTTTAAACAAATTTGCCAAGCCCTGGTGTAACGCTCTGTGTGTTAGTGTGTAACATTGTGGCCGCTCTAGTTGTGTTGGTGTATTAATAATGTACCCGCTGATTCCGTGTGTGTGTATTAATGTACCCGCTGATTCCGTGTGTGTGTATTAATGTACCCGCTGATTCCGTGTGTGTGTATTAATGTACCCGCTGATTCCGTGTGTGTATTAATGTACCCGCAGATTCCGTGTGTGTGTGTGTGTGTATTAATGTACCCGCAGATTCCGTGTGTGTGTATTAATGTACCCGCTGATTCCGTGTGTGCGTGCGTATTAATGATGTAGCCGCTGATTCCGTGTGTGTGCGCTTATTAATGATGTAGCCGCTGATTCCGTGTGTGTGCGCTTATTAATGATGTACCCGTTGATTCCGTGTGTGTGTATTAATGTACCCGCTGATTCCATGTGTGTATAATGATGTACCCGCTGATTCCGTGTGTGCGCTTATTAATGATGTACCCGCTGATTCCGTGTGTGTGTGTATTAATGTACCCGCTGATTCCATGTGTGTATTAATGAGGTACCTGCTGATTCCGTGTGTGCGCTTATTAATGATGTACCTGCTGATTCCGTGTGTGTGCGCTTATTAATGATGTACCTGCTGATTCCGTGTGTGTGCGCTTATTAATGATGTACCCGCTGATTCCGTGTGTGTGCGCTTATTAATGATGTACCTGCTGATTCCGTGTGTGTGCGCTTATTAATGATGTACCTGCTGATTCCGTGTGTGTGCGCTTATTAATGATGTACCTGCTGATTCCGTGTGTGTGCGCTTATTAATGATGTACCTGCTGATTCCGTGTGTGTTTTAAAGTAGGACAATGTCGGTCATGATGTACCCACGAGAGGAGAAGTTGGACAAACTGTCCCAGGAAGAAATCATCTCGAACACCAAGCTGGTAATGCAAGGTCTAGAAGCTCTGCGGAACGAACACAATTCCATCCTGCATAGTCTCCTTGAGACCATAAAATGTCTTAAGAAAGACGAGGAAGCTAATCTGGTGCATGAAAAATCAGGACTACTGCGTAAATCTGTGGAAATGATCGAGCTTGGGCTTGGTGAAGCACAGGTGAGGGGAATGCTGAAACAGAGTGTTGGGAAGAATCTTGGAAAAAGGGTGCAGTGGTTAAAAATGAAAGGTAGAGCTAAGGTCTCAAACACAGGGGGCAGGTGATAGAAGCTACTTACAGAGAGTTTTCTAGAGCTGTTGGAAGAATGGGTGCCGGTGAGTGGCGAGGAAGTCAGATTTAAGAATAATTGCTGTAACAAGTACCAGTGAGCATTGTCTTTAGATCAGCAGGAGCTGGAAGATCGCGGCATCAGAAGCTTTTGTTTCTGGGGTTTTAAGATTGACTTTGGCTATAGTTTTCAATTAGTGAGACAGGGAAATTCTGAATGCAAGTTTGCAGGAAAGTGGCATTAAATGGTAAATCAAAGAGCAGACCATGCATTTACATTGTTCCTTTAATACTCCATCACAGCTGATGATGGCACTATCCAATCACCTTACTGCTGTCGAGTCAGAGAAGCAGAAGCTGCGTGCGCAGGTCCGCCGCCTTTGCCAGGAGAACCAATGGCTGCGGGATGAGTTGGCTAATACCCAGCAAAAGCTGCAGCACAGTGAGCAGAACGTGGCTCAACTGGAAGAGGAGAAAAAGCATCTGGAATTCATGAACCAGCTCAAGAAGTACGACGAAGATGTGTCCCCAACGGTAAGAGGCCAGCGGGAGTGCTCGTATTCATTCCTGTGTCTCCTGTATGGTCAGACTCCGCCATGTAACAGAGTGTGAAGTGTGTGTATTTGTCAAATCCATCATTCACTAAATCTGCAACCCTAAAGGATGGTGCTTGAACCCATGGACGAGACAAATCTAATAGTTTAAATGAAGGTGGATAAACCTAAATGGGCTGTAGAATAAAAAGATTGAAAATAACTTTATAAAACATAAAATAATTAACTGCAAATATACAAGAAGTGAGTCGTAA